TTCATTTTAAAGGTGCCTCAAGGGTTAACAACACTGAAACATTTGAAACCAATGTAGAACAAATCTTTGTTGTTGTTTTTTATTCACACATTGTTATGATTTAATAAGGCGGATGACTAAGGCATGCTATTATCGGCAATATTCGTATGTAGGCAGTTTTTAAAAAATGACTCATGGGTTCGGGACAAAACATGCCTTAGTACTGTGACTAATATCTTTACCTACTGTCACTGTGCTGCATTTGATCAGCCATAACATTATGACCACTGACTGATGACGTGAATATTATCATGGCAGTGGGTGGGATATATTAGGCAGCAAGTGAACATTTTGTCCTCAAGAAGTGGTAGAAGCAGGAAAAACGGGCAGTATAAGGGTTTGAGTGACTTTGAAAAGGGCCAAATGATGGCTAGACGACTGGGTCAGAGCATCTCCAAAACTGAAGCTTTTGTGGGGTGTTCCCGGTCTGCAATGGTACGTACCTATCAAAAGTGGTCTAAGGAAGGAAAACCAGTGAACCAGAGACAGGGTCATGGGCGGTCAAGGCTCATTGATGCACGTGGGGATCGAAGGCTGGACTGTGAGGTCCGAATCCAGCAGACAGGGTGCCCAGGTGGTCATAATGTTACAGCTGATCGGTATATATCAAAATCATTCTCAGCTTAAAGCAGTCATCTGACAGATGCACTATAACACAATTAATTATCACTTGATTCGTTTTAGCATCTTTTATCTTATTATTTTGTTTTTACGCAACTTTACTGTTTTGGTTCACATTCAGTCTTATCAGCATCGATTTAAGGATTTGCCTAGCACCAAATGGCGGACAAAGTTAGCAACTAACTGGTGAACACAGGTGAGCATTAAGCAATTAAAAAGTCAGACATTTTTCTCAGGAGAAGGTGGAAACAACAAAGAGAGCTGAAAAGAGAGTGAGTATAAATCTTTGATGTTGCCCAGAGATGGCAACTGTATCCTAACAAGTTCATCATATTAACTTAAAAGTTAATATATGTCAGTATTTTTTTTTACAGCTTATTTCACTGCCCCCAAGTGGTCAAAAAATCGCAGGTTGCAGGTTTAAGACTACTCTTTAGTACGCTTGCCACTACCTAGTGAACTAGTTCATTCATACAGGTTGTGACTCAGAGCTCCAACAAACACAACTGGCAGTGTCCATGTGTGGGAAGCCTGCTGGGGATCAGTTATACACAATAGGAGCAGGGGCAGGACATTAGGAGTTGCTAGTAGTTATTTGCCAATATGTACATTTGGTTTTGTGTTGTCTTTTGAGGTAGTAATATGCCACTTTTACACAAGATCTGCTGCTCTGCTCAGTTTGGTGGAAGTTTGTAGAAAAGTAAAAGTTAAAAATATTTTAAACTACCACATGCCACATTGTCTAATGATGGTGCTTGGGCGATACTTACTTTTGCATTACACTTTGTTGTAGAATAAGCTTGAAGGTACAGGAGAAAACTATAAAATTGTTGGCAGTATGAGTTGAAGTGGCCCTTTTATTTTTAGCATTGATATTATGTATTTATATTTATACTCCAACACAATGGAGACTGATTTAGGAGTTTTCATTATCATGTTAATATCACACAAGTATGTCACACGTGCAGATGTTGTCCTGAGACAAATCAAACAAATTCTAACTCAATCTTTTGTCACCCGTATGTAGATAAAAAGATTATTATATTTTGTTCATGTTCGCCAGATGAGGAAGCACATGCAATGAAATCTCATGATCTCAGTCAGACAAAAGTCAAATATTTCCGTTGTCAGACTCTATTCATGAAAAGGCAGGCATGTCTTACTGATGCCACAAAGATGTCATTAAAGAATGCTGTCTCGCAGGTATCAGCAGGTATATTTATGGTCCCTTTGAATTACACACACAAAGCCGATAAACACCCCTTGTAACCATTTCCAGTTATAGAGACTTGGCTGAGTGATGGCTGTAATCAAGTGTAGATTGTTTCCCATGATCTTTTAAATACAGTTATGATTATAACACATCTGCTCAGTAACAGTATTACTTGCAGTGGTGTTTTGCCATCCTAATTCACATGAAAATACAGAAGATTCAAGACTGAGACAAATGGAGTTAAGTTATACAGTATGCAACAGCTCCAGCTGGAACAGTTAAATACTTGTAAAAACTGGGCACAATAATGACAACTGAGACTGAAGGTCTGCACTGGCAGTTGCAGTCTGTTACACCGATGATGACATTAGACAAGCATGTGCTGCCTGCTGCTTGCAGATTACTGTGGATCGAGGAACATATGTCAAATGGAGACAAGATTGTTATTGTCATATCTTTGGAGTTCAGAATAGGCAATATTCACTATGAAAAAGCCATCATAGAGAGCCCTATGGTGTTCTGGGACCTGTATTTTTTTACAAGGCCTAGTGAAGCATTTGTTAAAATTCTAAATCTCAAATTTTTAGTATCCATCAGCATGATCAAAAGAAGATGGAACAATGAAGACAGCACCAACTCTGGGAGCGACTTATAATTGCATGAGTTGGTGTGAACAAAATAATTTGTAGCGCTTTTGAATAGACTGCATTATTACCACTGCCAACGAGGTTATGTTTTCAGTTCTTTTTGTTTTTCTTCTGCCTGTTTGTTTGTTAATCTGCCAGATTTCTTTAAATACTCGTTTATATATTTCAATGAAATTTTGGGTACAGATGTTGATCAAAGATTTCCATGACCTCATGCATGTGTATTATGATGTAGATTCGACGTTGGTTATTTTTCGTGCATTACCTGTACTTGTCAATTTGCCAAAGCACTTTTTAATTAACATTAAAGTTGCTGATGCTTTGTCCTTGGCCCAATTTACACCTGAAAAAATAATAGGGTAAACAAAATTCCTTATAATTATTGAATTATAATTATATTTAATCCTACTTAAAGTTGCTTTGCTAGTAGCTAGTGTTAGAAGCTAGTGGGGTTAAATAATCAGTTTTGTTCATTCAGGACTCACTCATGTTATAGACGTGCTGCCAGAGGGCCTCGGCCCAGCGCTGTGTGTCTTCAGGGGTGTGCGTGGTCAGCATGTAGGTTACGTCCTCTCCTTGACGCTGTGTACTGATGTATATATTCCGGCAATGGGCAGAATCTCTCTCTGACACACAGACAAGGGTATCCTGACACAAAAACACACAGACATAATAATAATCATTTTCAAACCTAATTATTCAGATAATCGGGTTGGATTTTTGCAAACACATGACAAAGCACCAAATGAGTGTTTCAGACAAACATCCACATAGCTAAGATATTACAGGTAGCCACAACACTACTGAGTAGTATTAATAGCTAACACATTGATTGACAAAATCAGTTTTAACTGCAGTTTGACAGAAGCTCAGAATAAATCTGCTGCTGATGATAACATCCTTTTTACAAATATATCAGCTGTAGGAGTACATTTGAACGTTTTATCATCTACTATCAGGTACTTTAATCCTGTGGTTCTCACAGGTCCCCTTCAAAAGGTAAATCTGGGGAACCATGACAGGATTAATGAAATGAAAGCAAAGTTCTGCATCAAAGATTTGTATTCATTTTTTGTCTATTTAACAGTTATTTAAACAACACAACCCATCATTTAAATAAGGACAGAGGGGAAGTCACTGCTAACAACTCATAAACATCTGAAACTGGCACCAAGTAGACACAAACCAAAAAGATTTGGAACCACTGGTTTAATGCGTTGTATCTTATAAGATTGTCCAGTGTGTAGTAAGTAACTAGTGCCTATACCATAGTTGTCAGATGAATGTAATGGAGGAAAAAGTACAATATTTCCCCAGTTAAGTTCAAGTGCCTCAAAATAGTAGCAATATTAGTAAAATATTTGAGTAAATGTACTTAGTTACTTTTCATCACTGGATTGACACTATTGTTTTGTGTGCAATAAGCTGTAAATCAATGTCTGTAGATAGAAAATAGGACACTATTTATATGACATATTTTAACTATAGATATATGTCTAACAGACTGTGACAGAAATGAATCCAGTTAAAAGTGGATAAAATATTCCAATCTTCAGATGCATACCATTACAATGTGTTTCCTCTCCTTGGAAATTCACTAGTGCACTCTGGTGGCTTCGGAATGTTATTGTAATCAACATGGACTAAACCATAAATGAATCCATCTATTTATTCATTTAGAACCAACCTTTCTAATGTGGATTACAAGTAATGGCTTGTCCTCAGACTCCAGGTCTTCTTGATTCTGATAGCAGAGAAGACTTTGCCCCCTGAGGATGCCACAGACATTTTGCCAGCAATTAAGGTCCTCTTCAAGCTGAATGAGAGTGGGCAGTAAAGTGATACAGTGAATGATAATGTGATACCATTTTTTTTTTATCACAAAGCAGGATAATATATGACAGTCTAGTTACCTTAACCTTGAGTTGGCCACTTATGACTGACTGAATCATGCACAGAGGCTGAGCAACTAGGCGGCAGCACATATTGCCATACAGAGGCAACCAGAATGGACTATCCTCTGGAAAAAAGAAAAAAAAGAGGGATAATAGCAGAGGAGAAGAGACAAGAAGAAGAGAGGAGAGGAGAGGAGAAGACTTACCTGTTGCTGCTAGTGACAAATCATGTGTCTTGAAACTGTCCTGGACGTGTTCGATTCTTAGTGTTGTGTGAGCCAGCAGGTTATACTTAGGCCCCCTTCAGACAAAAAGCACGGGGCAAAATCAAGCTTCATTTTTCTAGCTGATACTCAGTTAAAAACTATTTTCCTTTAGTGTGTGTTTCAGTAACAATTGGCATCCTCACAGTGTAGACAGGTCAGGTGATAAAGGTGGTGACACACTTCTAGGTCCTACATCTCCACAGGATCCACAACCAGTTGCAGACTCAAACGCAGCACGGATCTTCGTCCCAGAGGAGCATCCCAGAGAGCCCCCCAGACGGCTCACTCTCCTGGGTCCTAGAGCTGGTGAGAAATCCTCAACCGCACAACTGCTGTACAGCTCAACACGGAGCTGAAACCCTGGACCTACCTCGTTGCTGCTTACACACAGACACATTTATACCAGGACATAAAGAATGTCTTTAAAGTGGGACTGCACAAAGACTAAACCTAAGAAAAAATATATAATTAAAAACAGGTGACTTACAAAATTATAGTGTCTTCAAAACAGATGTCAGTTAAAGTCCTGTCTACCATCACCAGATCAGTGTCATGGATCTCTGTGCCACACTGTAGCAGGCAGAACACAGCGCAGCGTTGTTGCTCTGCAGGTAAAAAGAATAGAGTAAAAACTGCCTTGCTTAAGTATATTGTATATTTGATTATTTCCGATGATGATATACACGACTAGGCATTATGGTGAGGTTAACAAGGTTTCCATGCAATCAAAGTCTTTATTTTGTAGCAAATTTTCTCTTGTGCAACCAGCGCAACCAGCCCCCTTGATCACACTATGCAGACTTACCTCCTTTGTTTTTGAAGTACTCTGAGTCTTTCCACATCAGTGGGATTCGCAGATCTATAGAGTGCAATTTTTTAAAAGTTAGAAATATAAAAGATTCAAGTATTTTTATGAATTTGTGGCAAGATAATTTGTTAACACTCACCTGAAAGTGCTACTTTTCCCATACATGACACTAAGTCTTCAGATGGCCTGCAGTAAAAGAAAAAGATCATCTATCCAACATACCATACATTCATACATACTATACATACTGTACAGAACAATATGTATATGGGATGCACAAAATAACAGGAACTCGAGTGAAATTTTATTGTACTTTATTGTATTTCATTTAAATGTAAACACAATAAATCAGGTAAACCCACACGTCTAAACAAAACATAAATGTTAGCTTGTCTGGCCTCTGGTGGCTAGTAGGAGGTATGGCACTGTCCACAAACACTTCACTTGCTTCACTCTCTTCACCCCACTGATAAGGATCTATTATCTGTCTCTTTACCCATACAAACTATATATATAGAGAGAGATATAGATATATATCCTTGCACTCCATCTGACCTGCGCCCCACTCTCTGTAGGATTTGAGCTTTCCTCATCCTCTGTAGTTGGCTGAGCAAGGCCAGAATCCGGGAATTGCAGGTTAGCAGGCTCTTGGAGGCCTCCAGGGCCTGCTCTCTCCTGGAACAAGCTGCCAGTAGCTTACTGGCCCCCTCCCGCATCCGCACCTCCCTCTCAATCTGCTTCAGCACCTCTTCATCCTGTCCGAGATTAGTGGAAAATAGAACATTCCTTTGATCAAAACTATCATCTTTTTATTAAAGAGAAAGACAGATAAACAGCTTAGATTGTTTCAAGGTAGGTACTGACAATTATCTGACTTCCTGGAACCAACCAAACAGTCAAAGCATGAGTACAATGCGTTTAGCCATGCTGGAGGCATAGCTCTAGGGATGGCAATGTTGGTCTTTCAGTCTTCCACCACTTTGGTGCAACCTGACATATATTTTACCAACTATTGGATGGATTGCTATGAAACTTTGTACAGACATTCACGGTCCCCAGAGGATGACCCCTACTGACCTTAGCCGCTTCCATAGCAGGAACTTTCCCCAGGGACTAGGAACCTTCCACCACAGGGAGTCTTGACAACTATTGGATGGATTGTGATGAAATCACCACTAAGTACAGCCTAATGGAGCCACTAGCAGGCTATGGACTCTTAGTCTTGGTATTTAATGTGTCATAAGGTAAGGGAGTGCAATTAGTCATTCCAATTTCCAGTTGTTGTTGCTGATATACAGTGATAACTATGACTAGGACATTATATCAGGTGGTAGTCACTATTACCAGCCTTGTAACACTCAAACACACTGACCCAGAACTGTTACATAAGAGCCCAGTACCCATGAGGTGACAGTGTTGATCTAGTGCATCACATTAATCCCTGGATATAGTCCAGCTGTCAGAGCCCTAACACTGATTTCAGGTAAGTTGATTTGATCACAAAGCAGTAACAAAGTACATGCTGTTGGAATTTACTTCCACACAATAGACAATGTTGCCTTTGTCTTTGTCTGTAAGATTTTATGATCTTATGCTTTGACAGGTAAAAAACAACACGGTGTGTGGAACTATTGAAAAACTCTTCCAAAGTCCACATGCAGTAGATTGAATCCCTTGAGGGAATTCTTTGTTGATAATCCACTTAGTAGCATGTTTCCTAATAAAGCTTTTTATAGCAGAGTCTGTAGTTCAGAGGGCTGTTCTATTTATAATTTCATTATGTGGACATTATGATGTACTGAAATGATTATTAAGATATTTTTACACTAGTAAACTTATTAAAAATAGTCATGCAATATGGTGTTTGCCAGATCTATTTTTAGACATACGCTTCTGTACTTTGTGGTCATCCAAATGGATCAGTGAGTTAATACACTTCAGGCGATTCTTCAACGACAACATCAAATTTTCCCATCATTAACACAATACGCCTCAATACGAATGTTATATAATATTTTTAGACTTGTTTCACAATGTATATAATTAAGTAGTGTTGTCTTTTGGTTAATGTCACATTCTTGGGCAGTCTTTTGAGGTTTACCATGCATTAAAACAAGCCATATAAGTAAAGTGAAGTACAGCTTTAGGGATCAGAAGGTGGTTGCATAATTCGATCATGTTTTCTGAGCCTAAGCCCTGTTGATATGTTGCAATTTTTCCTACATAATAACATAACCTGTCGTTCACTCAACTGGCATTGCAAAAACCTTAAAAGCTTCATTTGTACCATATCACACCTTTCAAAAAAGTAGAGCACACCTAAAACTGATGATGATGCTTGATGATTAATCCAATATATTGATTTTTCACAGAACCACTGTATGGATTCAAATGTAATCTATTAAGAAACCATCATGTTAAAGTGCAAATCACTGTAGATCCTTGGTCTGCAGATACTTCTCCTAGCTAGTATGACAATTACCTGAAAATGACTTTTCTTTAAAGGTTATATTTACTAAGTAAAGTATTTATTTTACTTTTAATAATATATATATATATATATAATCATACATACATTCATGCACTGAACCACAATATAAGCACGTATAATTAATTATTCACAAATGGAAAAATACAAAAAATACACAAATCCTCTTATTTCACTAACCTGGGTGTTATCATTCATGTTCCTTCTCTGCAGTGCCTCAGTGGTGTGCTCCAGCAGTCAGCAGGCAGTACAATGAGTGGACTGACTAATCTCACAGCTGACTGGAAGAGTGTTTGAGTGGACCTGCAGACAGAGCAGTTAGTTACTCAACAGAGAGCTCAAAACGGTCTTAAGCCTCACCACAAGAGGTTGCAGCATGGGGGATTAGTGGAGTCTTTTATTCCGTCAGCTCTGTCACATGATATACAGTGAATATTTACATTATCCTAAAACACTTAAAACATACTGTAGTATTCCCTTTTTGAATCACAGAGGTGGCTTCAATCATTTCTGAGGTAACTATTTGTGGTGCTGTGAATAAATTTCCTTCTGTGGCGCACACCTCATCCTTAAACACAGCATTTCAATGTGTCAGTGGTGATTGTCATGTGCTGTTCATAAAGGCCAGCCAGCCATACATTTCAGTCCCATTTCTGTCAGAAAATGCCTCATTGCAACAAGGGGTTTTAAATCACCACCACGCATCAGTATCCAAAATGGCCAATGACCTTCTTAATGGCTGGTGGTGATTTTTGTCTGGCCCTACTAGCAATATGTTCATAATAGTGATAGTTTCAGTTTCAGCTTCTGTTTGTTCCTCTCAAGTAATGGGCATCGCATTAGTCACAGAGCCAAGCATTTGCTGGTCTGACAAATGAAAAACCTACAGATTTTTTAAAGACTTTTCTAACCATCTGGATGGAAAATATGTGTTTGTTATGGTAAAAAAAATATATAAAACCAGGGTGTGAACTACAGGGGAGCCAGGGTGAGCTTGGCTCCTCTTAATAAGACACAAGCTCCCTTAAAAACACGATTTGTGAAATTTTGAGGGGGGTCTCTAAAATACTGACAATATGCTATTTTTACCATGCATTTTGTTGTATCTTCACCATCGTGGATCATGTGTATATTTAGGATATAAATGATGTATGATTCATGTATAAAGGTGATTCATCACAAATTCACAAAATTAAATATTTTGTAAATATAGTAAATATTCATGTTGCATTTGAGACTGCTCAAGGTTGAACAGTTCTGTTAAGAAGCCAGACTGTGCATTTAATATTTAATTAAACAAAAGATGTTGACAAATATTCTACAAATTTACAGTGTGGCAGCAATCTGGCAGAAGACACAAAGCCAATATCAAAAAAGTAATTATAAATTCATTCTACAGGTCTGATAAAGACACATACAAAGGTCATTTTTGATATACATCTTTAGAATTTAAATGTTTTCTCATCATGAAAACAGTAAACTCAACATTCAAAAGATTAGCAAACTTGCATCTAGATGAAAGATTGGATCAAGTGTTGGTGGAAGAATACATTTTATTCAAATCTTACATAATTCCACATTTTATTTTTCATGAACTAATGAAACACATGGTAGAGAACACATGATGTGTTTTCGTTTCAAGTATCAAACATAATCTGAATGCCGTCGATCTGTACAAGGACCTCTTTGAACATTCAAATGATCTATATACTATATACAGTAAAACAAAATTTCTGCTCTGTATGCGGTGAATTTCAGAATAAAATAATGCAATATTACTACATGAAATGAAAGGCCAACTTTAAGACATCCTTTTTTTTTTATCACATACAACCAAAAAATAGTTTCAGGTTAGAACAGGTGATTAAAAATTAACACAAAAATACTCAAAAGAGGCATTAAAAAGGTAAGACATTTAAACATGCAACTGTACATGATAGCAAGTAATGCAGTTTTTATTCCTGAGACCAATGTTGTGGTCTGTGTTAATGGAACAGGTATCGAAAAATGACAGAAACAAAACAAAAAACAGTTTACTATTGTACAATATGTACATGTTCACAGGTAATTATAATCAAGTTAGGGAATCTGAACATTGAATAATTGGGACAAAGCTGTAACCTCTTCGAGTCAAACTAGTGTTTTACCAGTGTTTTGGTTATTGAGTTACAATTCAATATTTATTATTCGAACTAATGGTCGTGTAAAAAGGCATTTCAGTAAATTGAAACTACTGTACATATTCAAAGTGCTTGTGAAAGTAAAAAATGCATCCGTCAGTCTAGTAGATTTTGCTTCACTTAATTGCAACTGACAGCAAACACAACAAAAACTAAATCTTTTAGTTATAAATTAACCTTTACAAACATAACTTAACACAAAAAATCTTTTAAAAAGGCAAGCCCACAGGTTACTCCTCTCACTCCACCTCTCTATGGCTTTTATCCCTCTTCAACTTCTGTAAAAATGTCACTTAAGAAGTACTGAGACACGCTGGTGGGCTCCTCTATAGAGGTGCTCTCCACATCGTCACTGTGCCGGGAAGCTGGAACCTACAACAAAGGAGAACAAAGGATGAGCTGTAATCGACTCTAAGTGGGTGTGTAATAATTCCACTGACTTAAGATGACCCCCCTGCCTTTATACCCTCCTCACCTCAGCTGGACACAAGAAAGTGTTAGGAGTCGAGCATAGTCGGCTGTGCTCAGAGGTCTGTTCCATGTCCACCTCAGTTTGTGTTGGTGATGTAGTAGAGGGTGTGAAATGGGTGTCCTCTGGAGGCTGTGTGGGACTGGGTGAGGGAGCGACATCATAGGATGTTGAGGCTACAGGTGCTGGGGTAGATCGTTTCCTTGCTGCACGCGGAGTTTTGACCTTAGAGCCCTTGGAAGCTGCTTTGCAAGATGGAGAACTGCTTGAAGGGTCAGTGATGTCTGTCTCAGCAAGGGAGGAAGGGAAGCCTTTGGGATTTCTGTCAGGTATTGGAAAATAAAAATTAATTGATATTAATTGCAAATCAGATATCAACATGAAAACCAACAAACTACTACTGTCCTCACCTATTCCGACTCCTAGTGCCCCTAGTCTGTGTAGTTTGTGCTCCAGAGCTGTGATCCTCGACCTCATTCCCACTCGTCAGAGTCTCCTTTTCAGTGTCTTCACGATCATCGCTTCCTTTCTGTGGCTCAGTGACAACCTCATCAAAGTCTTTTGGCTGCACAGAAGGCCCGGGACGCTCTGAGTCCTGGGTGCAGATAGGCTCTGCTTCCTTGGCAGTGAGGGTCTTGCTGGCTTGTTTTTTCCTTTGAGTTTTGGGCTTAGCCTGCAGTTTGGCTGGTTAAAACAGAAACAGGAACACGATGAAAAAGATGTGCCAAATTCACTGAGAGTGCATGCGATGAGTAAGTATTCATTTACTGCATACCTGTTCTTCCAGTGCCCATTAGTCTTTGTTTTGTAGGTGGATGTTCAGTCTTATCATTATTCTCTACAGTCTCTGGTAATATGGATGACTGGACTGTAGTACTCTCTGTTCCATAAACACAAATAATGCACATTTACCATTTCTAATACGACAATAATCATAACTTTAAATAAATGACAGAATAATGCAGTCACTCTACCATGTGGATCCACTGGATTCTCCATGATCGAACCCTGGTGTGGGTGAGAAAAATATACGTGTGACAAATACAGACATTTTATCACATTGCAGCTACAAGTGGTTCCTTACAGCTTCACTTACTATATATGTAGCTGGGTCTGGTCCAGTATCTTTTGCATTAATGAGGCCTGTCTCACCACTCTCCTCCATGGACACAGGTACAGCGACATTAGAGAGCCCATGTCCTGCTGCCGCCAAACTCTCTCCAGAAACACTGCTGAGGGGTGAGGAAAGTTGTAAAATAAAAGGCTGAACAAAACCAGACCCACGCCTGCATGAACAGGTGATAAAAGGCAGGCACTAACCTCTGCTGCTGTATTGATGCATCTGCCACGGGAAGATAAGGGAGAGGCTCAGACACACAGTCTACCACCTCCCCTGTTGAACAGACTGGGATCTCAGTCAAAGAGAGGATGAAAAACGGTTCATCTGGATCTGAAGGCACCTGCTCTGACAACACTGAGAATGAGAATGAGAGGGAGAGGGGTTTTATCCAAATCCATGGTGCATATACTTAATATAATAAACAACACAAAAACAACTTAAGAGAGTGGAGTGATCTCTGAATGACTTACGGTCTGGAAATATTGTGAGACTCGGATGGCTTTGGATCCCTCCTGTACTTGATGCTGATGCATCCTGGTGAAGAGTATTAGAGAAACACATTTGAGAATTAACAACCAAGATTATCATTTTGTACCATGCAGTGTGGAAGCATCTGCATTCATTGTGTTTCTCCACTACTTTATTGATATTTTCCCTTTAATTTGTCACCCAGTCTGTACATGTCCACAAGATATGCCTCCTCCTGCACACATTGATTAATATCTTACCTGAGCAGAATTGTCAGGCACTTCTGTCACACAGCCCAGAGAGGCTCCAGCAACTTTTGAAGGCGAGTCTTGTTGATTCAGTTGTTCAGTAACTTGTGTCAAGCAGCCAAGTGAGGAAACAGCATCACTTGGAGGGCAATTCTGACTACTATGTTGCTCAATAGCTCCCTCTGCTAGTTCTTGAATGTCAGGCTGGAGTTCAGACACAGGTTTGTCGAAAACTGAAGCATCCGCACTTTGTGCGCAAATACCAGAGTCTGTGGAGAAAGAAGAACCTTTAGTGATCAACAGCAGTGCTGCAGGGCCATAGATGGCAGTAATCTTGAACATCTGCTTAACATTCTTTGAGATAAGGAAGATTTCATATTTTTTCAAACCTGCTTCTGCTTGTTTTATATTCTGGACTTTTTGGGGTTGTGAAGGTTGGCTGCTGCGTCTCAGGTTGGGTTTGGGTTTAACAAGCCGACCTCTACGAGTCTGAGGAGCTTTTCTTGAGGACTGGGATGAGTCAGCTGACTTCGACGTATTATCATCAGTGCTTTAAGTGAAAAACAAACTGTTACAAGAGAAACTAATAATTGCTTAATACTTCCTTAAAAACATTAGGCTGTAAATAAAGCATGACAACAATTCTTGTACCGTGTTATACCTTTCAGAACACAGAATCATAAAAATGTCTTACCTTTGGGTAGTTATTTGATTAGTGGCAGGGGTTTCAGAACATTGTTGGACTGCATCTTGACTTTGTGCCTCGGAAGCATTCTCTGAAATTGGAGTGCTTTCTTTTGGAGCTGGTGTGGACTGTGTATTAGTAAGGAGTATAGATTTAATTTTTGACTCTGTTGACCCATCCTCTGAAGACTGGACATCTGAAATTGCAATTGGATTATCTGATGGTTGGGTATTTGTCTCTGTAGTTCTGTCCTGCTTGCAGTCCCCTTGTGAAACACGTATAGTCTCCACCTTGTCCCCTGTGGATTCTACTTCAACTGTGGGTTTTTCATTGGTCTTATTTTCAATAACTGAGTCAGTCAACTCAGACTGATTCTCAGCAACCGAAGATGTGGTTATGACGATACCATCAGAGGACGTACCTTCATCATTTTTGCCATCTAGTGATTGTCTCTGACTGTCTTCCTCTGCAAGTTTTAGCTCTGTTTGTGCATTATTATTGTCCACAGGCTGTTGTTCTGAGGTTACACTTGAAGAGGTGTCCATATGGTGCTGTTCTGATGGTGTACTGACAACAGTTGTCCGCAGTTTTGTCTGTGTAGTTCTAGTGGATGGTCCTAAATTAGGTTTGGGTTTGACTTTGGGAAAGCGTCGCCTCCTTTGAGTTGCATTTTGTTCTGAGCCTTCTGAGCTTGAGTCTAGTGCACTTCCAACATTTGTCTTTTGGTCACCAGTTAAAGATAATTCTTCTTTGGGTAGAGTAGAGCACAATACCAATGATGGTACTGAAACTGAAGTGCCAGTACTTTTAATTTGGCATGGTTTTTGAGTAGGGGTGGTACTGCAAGTTGGCTGTGCTTCTACCTCTGCTATTGTGTTGTCAGTAGATTCAGGCACTGAAGCTGGGCCGGAGGGTTTATCCATAAGTTGCACGTTTGTGACAGGATCTTTTGTGGATTGAAGTTTGGACTGCTGGCAAGTAGATGTAACTTTACTCTCTTCTTTCTGACTGACAGATAACTCCTCTACATGTGTAACCCATGGAGAAGGATGGTCGCTAATCTCTTGGACGGGGGCTGAGTGTATGTCTGACTCTTGTCCAACTTGTGATTTTGGAACTGCTGAGTCGGATGTCAGTGGATAACTACTGTCATCTGTCTCAACATGAGACACCAGTTTTTCATGTATGGACTCAGATGTTGGCCTTGTGATCTCGTTCCCTGAGGCACTCTGATTTGATGTTGCTGCATCTGATTCTACATGAAAAACATTTCCATCATCTGTCTTTTTGTCCACAGTTGTAGACAGTTCCTCTGTGGGGGGTGTAAGAGTAGAGCCTGAATCCAATGATGGTATCAAATCTGAAGCAAGACCAGTGCTGCTTTGACTTGGTTTTTCAGGAGAGGTGGTGCAAGTTGGTTCCGTTTCATCCTCTTCTATTGTTTTTTCATTGAATTTGGGGTTTGGAGTTGGGTTGGAGTTTTTCTCTACAGTGTCTTTTTTGGTTTGAAGTTTAGAATGTACAGCTCTTGATGTCTGTGCTAGGCTGGGTTTGGGTTTGACCCTCTGGAATCGACTTCTCCTAGTCTGGTGAATAGATGCTTCTTCACTCTCTTCTTTCTGACTCGCAGGTAAATCTTTTACAGGTGTAACACATGGAGCAGGATGGTCGCTGCTCAGTTGGACTGGAACTGAATCCATGTTTGTCCCTTGCAATTCGGTGACTGCTGTGTCAGATGTCAACAGATTACAACTACTCTTGGTGGTCCCAACATGAGACATCAGTATTTTATCTGTGGAGACTCTGGTGGAGTTGCTGGTGGCCTGTTCCAGACTGGGTTCAGATGGAGTGTGACTCTGGTTTTCTGAGGCAGTTGGATCTGATGTTGCTGCACCTAATTTTACTTGACCAACAGATCTCTCCTGACTACCAGATGGCTCTTCTGTAAGGTTGACTTCAATACAAGAAATTTCATCCTTGGATAATTTTTGACAACAGTCAACAGGGGTGTCTTTGGCAGCTGATAGTGTCTCAGTGACTTCAGAAAGTTTGGGAGCAACTGTGCGGCTCTCTTCAGCTGTCCTCCCTGTTGATGTGTCTGGTTGGGATTTTGAGCGAGCAGTCCTTGAGGCTTGGCCTAGGTTAGGTTTTGGTTTTACCTTGGATATGCGCCCTTTCCTAGTTTGTGGAGAATTGTTCTGTGAGCTCTCTGGAATATCCGAACCAGTCTTCTGATCAGTGGTTTCAGTAATGGGCAGGTTACTATTCTCTGTTGTGCTGTGTTGTAGCTCCACAGTGGCAACAGTTTCTGATGTTTCTGGGACTCCTTCACTAGAAGTTGCAGACATGAGAGGAGTAGCACTGTTTTCCTCTTGTGCAGCAGGCTTTGATGCAATCTCTACTTCTAGGTGTTGGCTGGTTTCGTCCACACTTATTGATGTTGTCCCTGCAATTAAACATAATGGCACATTTGGAATTTACTGCTATTTTAAATAACAAAATCAAATTCTAATTTAAGGAATGTTGTGGCTTCTGTGTCTCTTACCTGTTGTGTGATCTTGTATGGTTGTTTGATTCTGTGCTGACTGGCAAAGGTGAGCCAGGTTGCCAATGGTCAACAGGGTCTGAGCAGCCTCATTGTAGCTCTCGTCCTCAGATTCTAAAACAAAAAGAGCCCCAAATTTATATTTGGAGATCTAAATATTACTAGTTTTCCACTGAGAGCAACCCAGAATAGTTCTATAACTTACCTTCTGCAGGTTCTGAAGAAAGGAAGTCTATAACATCCTGCAAGGGAAACAAATATATTTTAAGTCTCATCAAAAACTTGCCATATAAGCCAGACTAGTAGGATGTGATATACATGGTAAACATATATTACAGTTACCCCAGTTACACTTCTTTATCGTTTTCTTTCTATTTCAGTTGATTATGTCTAGTCACAAAAAGGTTTCCATGAGATCATCATGCAATTGATGAAATACCAAGACTGCATGCTGCATTATACTACATTATCATCAACTTGTCTTCACCTAAAGTGTGCAAAAACCAAACTTAGGTAGGAATAATGAGTCACAATGATTGTAAACCAAATACATGCAATTAAAAATGACAAGGAGGAGACACTGGAAGAAAATAAGGTTGCATTTATCAATGTTGACGCATTTGTAGATCAAACTAAGCAGATAGAGCAAGTCATATTTTAAAGGTTTGATCTCAGAAATGATAGTAAAATAAGAAGTGTAACTGGGGATAATGATTCAATTTCACTGTTACTACATTTTAAGCATGGGACACTTACAACCAGCAGGTCAAGCTGATGTTCACAGGATTCAGCTGTGCCTGTCTCATTTTGTGCCAGCTCACAAGAGGCATCGGGGCACAGAGCATCTTGGGAGATGCCCAACACATCAGGCATATTGGCCAAGATATCAAGCTATGTGTGGGATGGGGGAAGTGAGAGTGGAGGGTTTGAATTATGGAATGTAAAACCATGCACAAAAAAATAAACTAATTTAAAAACACAAAAATGCTTGTTATGAGAATTGTGTAAAAATAAAATTAATGGTTGGTATGTATCTGTGCAAGACGTGATGGGAAACAGTTTCTCATACCTCCTCCATAGTCTCTTCCACCTCTGAAATTACAGGATGTGGGGAGCGCAGGCTGGCAGGCACAAACGCTGGGGCAATGCTGGAGTTAGATTCAGGGTGCTCATCCTCCTCCACTTCTTCTTCCTCCCACTGATTTTCATTTTCTTCATCACTGTATTCTGATTGAGAAGCTCTGAGGGTGACTAGTTTGGGCTTTTTCGACTCTTGGGTTGGTTGTGGCTTCGACGTTCGTCCTCTCTTGGCTGTGCATTTAGGTTTAGGCTTGGCAGCAGAAACAGTGGACCCTGCTGGCGAGGCAGGAGTGGTTTCAGATGCAGAGGAGTGTGCATCCTCTTTGGCAGGGTAAGTCAAGGGCTTGGTGGGTTTGGGCACTCTCCCATACCTACAAAATACAATCACACACTGATGAAGCACTCCTATCTTGTTATATCCAAAATATTAGGAATTGTGAATGGGAGTGTTTCTGAATACAATGTTAAAATTGGAGTCATGAAATATGTGAAAACATAAAATATTGTACCTGGTAGGTCTCAGCGGTTGAACAGTGGCATCTTCTTCTTCAGAGGAAACATCATCCTTGGCTGTTGTCTTCTGCTCGGCTTGCCTTATAGGTGATGCATCTTTATTAACCTAAAATGTTACCATAACTTTCAGTAAGGCAAAGTAACAATGTGTAGAAAGATATGATGATGCTCTGAAACTGAAATAATAACCTGCTCTTTAGAAGCTCCATCACTCGCACTCTCGTCCCCTTTTTCCGACGCAGTATCTTTGGCCTTTGAGGAGGGTGGTGGAGCCTTTTTACCCCACTTCCGGCCCAAAGGCAGTAGCGGTTTTGGTGCTCTGCCTCGTGAGAGTTTAGCTGGCTTGATTGCGGTGTCCTTGGCTGCATTCATATTCTCAGTCTTTTCAGACCTGAGTAGTAGGGTACAACAGAGACTTTTAATGTCAACTGCAGATGCAAAAAAACACACTTCAATCTAAAATAAAAATGTTAAAGTCTTATTACATGTCTGAATTTGTATGGTCCTCAGGAAGTGCTGCCTCTGCATCTTCGGGTATGTATGCCTCATCTGAGCATATAAAAGCAAAACAAAATTAAGAGCCACACACACAGAGAAACTGGGATGACTTTGAGGAAAGATAAAACCTGAAATATCTGAATGCACCTGTACCTTGTTCACTGCTTTTTTCCACCGTTTTGTTTTTTTTGTCATTTGGTTCCTCGGTCGAGGCGTCCTGTGTATTCTTTCTTTTGCGTTTCTTCTTAGGCTTAGAAACAGGGGTTCCTCCCTCATTGCAGAGGTCCTCATTCTCTTTCTCACCCTCCTCCTCCAAGTCAGGAATTCCATTCTTCCCCTCCTCATCTTCCTCCTCCACATCACTTAGCTTATTTGCAGCTTTTTTGGCTGTAGAGGGAATTTCAAACACACAATGATTGTTGAATTGAGACAATGGGGAGAACAGTTGTTAAAACTGTATGGCAGAACAATATTTAAGTTATGACTAAATGGAACTAAACTCAGAGACTATTAAACATGAAAAAGCATAGAGATAGTTACCCTTTGCCTTTCTCTTCTGCTTCTTTGGGGAGTTCTTTTCAGCGATTAACTTGAGTTTCTTTCTGTTTTTCTGAACTTCCAGAATCTTCTCTAACAACTTAGAAAAATACTCTATGTCGAGCTTGCGCCTCTCTCCTACAAAACAATCGCCAAAAATGTAGCATCAAATTACGCAAGGAACATTAATAATTTGATGTTTCATTAAACCAGCTAAACATATTTTCCTACTGAATACTCACTGAAAGCTTTGTCAATCCTCCATGCATTCACACGCTCTTCTTTTTTGAATTTGTTCTGAAAGTATAAATCAATGCAATTAACACAAACAAATTGTGCTGTTAGTGAGGCAGTGTGTTGCTTCTTCATACCATGTTCTATAAACATGTGTGTATGTGTATAAATCACTGACCTTTATCTCTGATCGAGCTCTGTGAGGAAACAGTTGACATATCATGGAAAAGTCTGTCCCCACCATGCTAATTGCCAGGAAGAACATGTCTGTCTCTGATGGAAAACAGCCAACAATGATGGCATGAAACACCAATATGAACGAGGCATCACAGCAAAATGTGTCCTATAAATATGTCATAATTCAGGTATCTATGTCTACTATCAGTCCCACCTTCACTGGACCAGGGTTTCGAATAGGTCCCCTTCCTGAAGCTTGAATAAGTTGTAGTGGAGCCACGCTCAAAGATGGGGTCTCGTTCTTGAGCAGGATTTGGCCCTTTGGCTCGCAGGACTTCCACTGTCAAGCTGAGACACAGGTTGAGAGGATATGAGGGATTATTATATTATATAATAATATACAATAACTAAGCAAAAAGAAGTAGATAAACATGAAAGAAAGCAATTCATAAAAATCAAGTCCACTGACCTCTCCTCATCAATGATCAGTGAGCCGTCCTCTGCTACTTTGACCTGAGGAACCATAAGAGCATCTTCCTGCTCATCCTCTGCTGCCACATCCACCTCTTCCTCCTCCTCCTCCTGCCTTGGGCTTGAAATTTTAGGGGTGACTTCAGGTTCCTGCGCTCTCTCTGGTGACCTGGAGGGATGAAACTGGAAACATCAGAAGAGGCCTATACGATGTCCACATAAAAATTCTAGCTGTTGATAGAGATATTGATTATAAATGCAGTGAATTATCCAGACTTTAATTTTCATTCATTTTATCATTTAGATTAATTTATAAAAACATCAAATCCTTTTCAATACTGTGTTAATATGGATACAAATAAGGGAAATCAGGCTGAAGGTGTCATTTGTTACCCATTATGTACAACATCAATAAACTTACTCTTCTCTTCCTGGAGAAAATGGTACCACAGTCTCATTTTCCGGAGCTGGGTCTTCTAAACTAGATCTGGAAAAAATGCAAATGATTGTCACATAAGACAAATAAGAACAGAAAACCCTTCTTGTCAAATAAGATCCAGGATAATCAATAGAAAACATCATCTCTAGAAGTAAAGATTAAATGTTACATAAGCTTGACAAAACTGCAGAGGAGACACTTACGTCATTGGGTTAGACACTGGCAGATAACGAATAAGGTCCCTCATGGTCATTTTGGCAGGATCTAAAGTATATTCCTTTGCACGTGCCTTAGCTCTCTTGCTTTTCTGCAACACCAAATAATAACACCCTTTTACTGTAATGAATTAAAATATATCGAACAGTATATGTCTAATCAACATTAACATTAACTTAGAGAGTGAAGAGAACAATGACAAATACGCTTACTGAATAATCTGATCTTACCTTTTCTTTGTGCATCTCCTGCCTGAGCAACTCTCTGAGCTTTCGGGCCTTTGCAATCCTCTGTAAGTCCGATGGGTCATTCAGGAGTCTACTCAAGGAAAACGCTGGTTGTGACAGTGAAAGCCCACTCTTAGATGACACTAGAGTCTTGGCTTTCTCCGATATCTCAATAGCTTCTTTATCCGGTAGAGAGGGGGGGACTTTATCTGGTAGTCTGGGAGGAACTTCTTTAACTTGACCGTCTGACGTGCTTTCTAATTGTTTGCCACTTTCTGCTAGCGGTTCGGTTTGTTCTCGCAAGTCCTCGGCTGGGGGAACAGCTGAAAGTCCTGGACTGTCAGAAGGGATGAGGGTGGGTTTAGGTGGCACTTTGGGCTGCTTGCTCTCTTCTGAAGCCCTCCGCCGCCTCGGGGACTGGAGTCCTAGAGGGGCTGTTGAAGTTTCACCTTTGCTGGACGTTGTTGGCTTGTCAAGGTCTGCGGCAGAGACTTCAACAGGAGTTTCAGAGACTGCCTTGACAGGGGACTTTGGCGTCCGAGCAACAGCGGCGGGGCGGCCTGGGGCGACTTTGGGCTTGATAGAAAATCGTTTTCTTCTCTGAACTGCTGCTGAGGAGCTGGCACTTTCCCCATTTTGGTCATTGGTATCCCTAAACAGAATTAAGAATAGTTGTTATGCATAACAAAAGTTAGTAGAAGTAAAATACATTTTAGAGGTCATGTAATGCTTGTTACTAACCCTGGGGCTGTACGTTTTTCTGATGGGGTCACAACAGACTTATCTGTCACAGCGGTAGCAGTGCTGCTCTCACTGACATCTTTGGGGGTCTCACTGGCTTCCTGGTTTACAGTGGGAGCTTCCTGAGATGTTGCTGTTGTTCTCCCTGCCGTACCGACATTAGGCCGAACACTGAATCTTGACCGACGAAACATTTTGACCTGAAGTCACACAGAGAGTCATCGGTATTGCAAAAATTCAACTGAGGTTCTGACTTACTTACTTACTTAATAATCGTTTGGTCTTGCAATGAAAGTAGGATTTACTTTACTTTATCATTTAGCCGAAATACCAATTTATGTATAGATTTGCACGTTTTTTTCTGGTTACCATTTGTATAATTTTGAGGAACTAACACCTGCAGACTCTGTTTTGGTAAGAATTTCTTTGTGGTACAGTACGTATGCAAGTTTTTTCTTTTCCATTTTATGCTACTTTATATTTCTGCTCCATTACAATCGAGAGACATTTATTTGACACTTACTCAATCTACCTAGTAGTGTATATGTATATATAAAAGTGGCTCCACATTGATGAATTACAGTATTAAAAAGATCAAATGGATATATATAATTATAAAACACCGTTTTGCATGACGACTACTTTTACTTTAAGTACATTTTGCTGATAACTTCTCGATGTTTACCCAAGTAACCGTTTGAATATTTGGCCTGTACCTCGTAATGGAGTATTTTCAGACCATAGTTTTTCTACTTTTAGTTAGCTTAAGGATCTCAGTACTTCTTCCAGCACTGGAATTTGTTACTCTCTGTGACCATTTCACTCAAAATGCAACAATGAATAAAGTTACTGTGATAAAAACATATTGTGATGACCCATTCTGATAAACTTTTTGCCTGATGTATTATTTTGCAGATTGAAACTGAGTAACTTGTAATTGTAAAACACTCCATATACTATCTATACTATATACCCTATACTAGGTAGGACAGTGGTTTAAGTACAGCACATATATAAAAACACTATATTCGCTATGCAAGTGTAAGTTTAGTACTACAAATGCTAAATACAGCAGCAATGCGGAAAACCATCACCTACACCATCAAGCTCACATTACCTTATGTAACTTAAAGTTACTGTTACTGCAAACCTCCACTAACGTTAACTGACAGGACAAGTGACGTTGACAGCTGAGAAGCCGTTAAGTCTGACCGGAAAGAAAATCACCAGAAAAACCAGCAGAGGTTTAACACGTTATTCAAACGAATGCAAAACACAGATAAATGCGTGAAAAATGGACTAAACAAGTAGAAAAGTGCACAAAGCTGGGCTCAAACTCGCATGTCAACACTTTTAGTGTGCGAGTCTCCCTGCCTTGGACTCGTCCTATTGTTAATATTAAGAAGCCTAAGCGGCTACATTTATAATTTTATAATGTCTACATGTGTTATTGTGCTGGCAACAACGTACCTGTCCAAGAATGTGTCGTTTGCTGCAAGAAATAAGCTTTAATTTATCGACGACGGGTGGGAAGTAGCGGTCCCCATGCACACACTAATCCGCCATGTTTTTCATGACGCGTTATTTTCGCGAGTGAAAGGGGTTATGGGAAATGTAGTCAGGTTGCTGCAAAGAACCGGATGAGGCAAGAGTGTACAGTCTGTAGGCAAGATTGGCCTTTGCTCTAAACAGGAAACTGAGCATTACATTGGAACGGAAGGATTTCAAAATATTGTCTGTGGACACAACACCAATCTAAAAACACTTTTACATAAAAACACTAATAAAACTGAAAGCATAAATTGTTTTAGTTAAGCTAAAGTAGAAACGTATCAGCAACAAAATGTAGTCCTACTTAAAATTTCAAATTATTGTATTATTAATTATTATAAATCAACATGTAAGCAACATTTTGATGTATTTAGTGAAGCTAGTTTTGATGACTTAATACTGACTGATAATCAAGTTATTATTATTTATTCTAAACTTTTGTATTTAAAATATAGATTTTTGAAGTACAGTATCTAAAGTCAGATATCAATAGTAAAAAGCAGAAATATTTATACTTTATAGAAGTATTAAGTAGCAGAAAATGGAAATAATCACGTAATGTATACATTACTCAACTGTACATCAATATGTTTTTAGTTACTTTACACCACTGGTAATACATGTCATTTAGTTTACTCAATACTGAGGTATTTCCTTTCCTTCACTGATGCATAAATGCAAGGATTGTTATCCATTTTATACTAATTTATACTGCAAATATTGTTCTTTTTGCACAACAAATTGTATTTGACAGATATGTTAGTTACTTTATAGATTAAAACTATATATACAAAATCAACAAAGCATTGTTATAAAAACCCAAGTAGTTTAAATAACTTCAACAAATAACCAAAGTGATTAGTGGTTGCATGTTTAATAATAATAATATTTAATGTGGAAGATTAGTAAGTGGAAATAGACTCCACCTAGGGTTTGTTGTAATTAAATCTAGTCAGGTTACTCCTTACGTTCTCTACATGGCTATTCCTGTTGATGACATATAGATGTAAATTCTTGAACTTCTAAAAAGCCAGTTAATGCAATTGTAAGTCACAATTATTTTTCTCTCTTTTAAGTGGCATACCAGTGGTTCACCCACATAATATTTCATTCCAGCTACTGCATGTGTCCAACATTGTATAACAAACAATAAACAAACATGTTACATGAGTAAAAACAGAACAAATTGACTGAGACCATCAGTGTTTGGGCATGCAGCCAGAACTCCTGACCTTCTCATTTCTGGAATCACACAGTATATCTTTTTGACTGTCGATCCTCCACTGGACTGCAAACTGTTGATGAACTAATTCAGTCTCAAGAAGGCGATGGAGGGTTATAACTGAATTATTTTATTTCTTTAACACAGACAGCATCAGCAGTGAACCTCTTTGGACGTGCCTTCTCTCACACACCACATTTCTTTCTTCAGCAGATCATGACATAACATTTACTTCTTAGATCAGTGGTCTTTAGAAATAAGGGAACTACTGATTGGACAAAAAACAACAACATCAGAGGTGGAAGTGTAAAAGAAGGGTGGGTCAGGGACAAGAGTTAGAAGAGTTCATAATCTGGATTGTCTTGCGCACACTGTAGCAGCTCATCCCAAAGATGTTGTTTGATGTGAAGATCTCCATTTGCTCAATTTACTCCATTTCAACTGTTAGGGCAGAGAGAAGACAAAACATTGAAATAGTGTTTATCCTCTATAGATGAATTCATTCAAGAAATAAACAAATATAAACACCTACTTACTTAAGGTCAAGCAAAGGGATTTCCAAAAGGATCTCCAAAAGCGGCTGTTGAACCAGAAGTCTGACCAACAGGGGCAGTCTGCTGTAAGATCAAGGAAAAAAGACCAAAATTAGAAATAATTACTGTGATTCTTGATTTGGTGTAAATATACGTCTGTGCGAATCTCTGTACCGTAGCTACAGGTGGCACTCCAAATGGACTGGAATCTGGGGCCCCAAATGCTTGATCAAACATGTCCTGATTGTTTGCGTTGGGAGCAGAAGAGAAGGCGGCGTCGAGGAGGCCAGGGTTAAAGCTTGGGGGTGCAGCTGGAGCAGGGTTAGCTGGTTTAGGAACATCTAAACAAGCACATTACGACAGGACACAATTAGTGACAAATATCACAGTCATGTATGTGTCAGCTTGCAAAATTTTTAATACATGCACTGCCATGTCTTGCTGCAGCTGGTTTACCGTTAACTGCTGATATTTGATTGATAACAAAGTCATCATGATCTGCAGTTTCCTGAGCCAGGCCCACTTTATTTGAAAAGTACTGATCAAATGCTCCGGCTTCGTTGCTGCTGGGGACTGGACCAGAGTTGGACACTTGCTCCCCTTTCCTTGCTGGGATGGCAGGTGGTTTGGCAAGCTGGAAGTCCTTGAACATGTCCTTTCCAGTCTTCTTCTCTTTATCTCCAAGGGGGTCCAAAGCTGTGAAGGCACTGTTCTCTACCTTTGGATGGGCCTCCTTAGCAGGTGGTCTAGGAGGGGGGCGTGACGGACCTTGCTGGTCACCCATTCCAGGGAACGCGGCAGGGTGGAAAGGGTTGGTCATCGCAGGCTGACCCCAGCCTGCAGGACTGACTGGTGCACCTGGTGGAGGCTGGCAGAAGATGTGGGGTGGGGATAAAGGCGGGACAGGAAACTGAGATGGCATCTGGTGGCCCCAGGCTGTGGGTGGTATGGGTAGACCACCAAAGGCAGATGGCTGTGGGTAGCCTAGCGTAGTGCCTGGAGCTGCCCCCCCTGGCATGGGGAACATGGAGGGTGCAGGGGTGGAGGCTCCCCACATGCCTGCAGCAGGGATACTTGTGGTGGCTGGAGGACCTAACTGAAGATTCCCTGAATATAAAGAAAATAATTATGAAGGTTTACAAAGGGAATGAAATGTAAAGCCAAATCAACAGCTCAATATTTGGATAAGAAACAAAGTTCCCCTCTAGTGTATTACCCAGAGCAGCTATGGAGGAGGGAGTGGAGTTGGCAGGTGTACTGTTGAAGAGGTCAGCTGAAGCAGATGGCCCTTCAGACTGACCAGGAGCAGCGAACAGCTCTGCTCCAAACAGGTCACTTGCTGTGGACTTTTCACAGAAAATAAAGCAAAAATAATAAGTATTATTTCACCACACTGACATCATTTTCTACATGCTAACTCATGAACTATGCAGTACTTAGAAATTAAGATTAAACCAACCTTTAACAACAGAAACAAATGATTTACCCTCATTATGTAGTCAGAAATAAATGCTATTTATTTTCCCTGAACATTGATACATATGCATGCTTTGCCACTTACCCGTGCTTTTATCACTGAAGCATGAATGTTAGAAAATAGATTAAGAGCAGAGATGACAAACGGTACAGTGTATGTTTCAGCAGCACAGTCAAAGTGTCATTTATTCAAGCCAGATAGGGAAGCATGTGACCACCAGTGCATGCATAAAGACAGAACAGATCCAAACAACAAGCCCTTAACTGCAGTCCTTAATTATAGGCCTTGCATCTTATCTTAACCATGTGCATCCTTCGGCATATCCTGTCATACACCAATGCATAACCAAAATGCTAAGAAAGGGAGATGTTAGCAAACTAATTATACTCTGGAAAATGTGCATCAAACCCATTTTTAGGCATCCCACATGCAACTCTACTGTGATTCATCTAGCTATGGAATTTCACCTTTGCACTCCTTCGACCTCGTCCAGCCTTAGAGCTCTGCGGAGGGGGGTTTATGACTACTGAATCCTTGCTATGAGTCACTGGGGGTTGTTGGTGATGAGTTATGCCATTAGAGACAGGGACAGTACTCAAAGGTGAGTCAAAAAATGGGTTTTTGGTTGAGAGAACTGGTCCAGATTCATTCCCGTCCATCATGGTAATTGTGTTGCCCTGAGTTATTTTGCCCCCTAGTGGCCACTGTCCGTTACTGAGAGCTAGGATCATGGTCTTACTAGATAACCCATTTATCTGCTGACTTAGGTGTTCAGAGTCTCCATTCAAACCACTGTTAATAATTGTCTTACTCGTGTTGCCAGCAGTGCTGTTTAGGTGATTAGTGTTGGTGAGGGAGATGTGTGAATTATCAGGTGCTGACAGAGTGGATGATTGAGAAAGGGGGTCATCTCTGAAAGGGTCAGTGTCTGGGGTTGGAAAGTAGCCAAATGTTGAGGAAAAAGGATTCTCTGTCTGGGGAGATGCCCTACGGTCAGGGGCACAGGAAGTTACAAAGGAGTTTCCCTTTATGCAATTCTGATTGCTGTCAACTTCAGCAGAGAAGTCCAACAAGAGAATATCATTAGAGTCCTGGTTAACATGAGAGGGACAGTGGGAGAGAAAAAAAGATTTATGAATCAGTTCTGCAGAGGAAGAAACAAAATGAAAAATGAATCACATAGTGGAAAGACATGACAATTTAAAGCTGCTACCTGTAGAATATTTACCTCAGAATGTCACTGTCATATTCAATTCCATAGTACATCACAGTCTAAAGTCCATCTTTCAGCTTGAAATAGGAAGTGGTTACTCAGTTCACAGTTGGCTTGGACATATATGCTACAGTCAGCACTAGCTTGTTGATCTGAAACTGAGCTAGTGAACTGGCACAGCAGTGTCAATATAAAGCACTACCAGTACAAGACACAAGGTGTCACCAAAGTCAACAAAAATATCTCTTTCATTTTTCTACTTGTAGCAGCTTTAAATGGTTTGATGGACAACAATGAGATTGGTATACACAAAGCATAAACTCAATTCTTAAAAGATCATTTTGATTCAAGTCTAAAATCTGCAATTGATTCAATCTGATACAACCAATAATTAAACACAAAAATGGTGGCCTTTTTAGAATTGAGTTCACACACATGGAATGATCTGAGAAGTGCTGAGGTTATTCTGTGGAGCCTTTTTTTCTTTCAAACACACTAAATCAAATCTTAGAAACATGTTTTTGACAAGAAGCAGCATGTGGCAAACCATACCAAGTCTTCCAAGATGTGTAGTAATATACACTATATAAGTATAATATAATATAAATGTTATAATAAATATAATATAAGTATAATAATGTGAATACCCAGCTATACTTTATTGACTACGTATAATTCCGCTATGTTGCCCAGATACAGCGAACATTTTACACTAGGGCACCACACTTACATTTGGAGCCTGAATGTCTGGGGGGGTCGACATGTCTCCAAAAAGGTCAAGCTGCTCCACTGGCTGGATGTCAAAAATGAAACAGAAACATACTGTATTTATTCAGCTACTTTAAAATAGTGGTGTTTTTTTTCAATGTTACAAAAGTATAAATTCTCACTTGGGCAGTTTTCACTTCACCATCCATACTTAGCAGGGCACCACTTCCATTCTAAAAACAACATAGGAAAGCAGAAGGTTAAAGAAGGAGTTGGAGGAACTATTTGAGTGACAAGTGCTTCCAAGTACTTACCTCAACTACAGCGCTGCCATTTTCACCCTGTAAACAGAGAGCAGACTGTTAATGATTATACTTGTTTTCTTAATTCACTGAGGCATGTGTCATTTCACATCATTTCAAAGGAATGTCTGAAGATGTGATTCATTGAAAGAACACAGAGAGGCAGTGTTGACATTCAGGAGGTACATACAGTGTGTGCCCTGTCCACGTTCCCAGATGACCACACCAAAATGCTTTTCTTTCATTAAACAAAAATTTTTCTGACTGTCCAACTTATGAAAAACAAAACTTTTTTTCCAGTTTAAAGTCAAATGCCTCTGAACCAGTTACCTTCTGTGAGGCCTCTGTCTCTTTCTTCCTTATGTTGAAGATGACCTGGAAGAGATCTTTCAGATCAATGACCAGGGGCTCTGCCTGCAACAGAGAAGACAGCACATTCACATTATTGTCCATTTGCCTTATGTATTTACAGTATGCACGCCTGTGACAGAACGTGAATGTGTGACTGAGTGTTACCTGTTGTCCAGTCTTTATGGCGAAAAACTGATGCTGCCCTTCTGCTCCGCACACATATCCAAACGCCCTGTTATCTGTTACATCTCTGGCGATGAAGGAGATCTTATTCACCACATGCTCATGTTCAATCACCTGAGTTACAAGGACAAAGCTTTCATTAGCAGGCCAACCACATTATTAATGAACTTCACAGTGTGGTGTGATGGGAAGGGCAGAACTCACTCCTGATCTCTCATCAATGATCTTGATGCCCGACATGGAAATGTTGACCCAGATCCTCTGTTTGTGTTTGCCTTGGGACCGAGCAGCTACTGCCATACCCTGGTGTAAAATATATAATATAAACATACTGTTTTCCTATATTTTGTAAGTAAAGAAATTTAGAATTTAGTGCTAATATCTGTTTTTCACCCTCTGCAGTGAGGACACAACTACAGCAAGAATGTTGTGCTTGCGGAAAGCTGCTGTTGATGTGCCCGTATGTGTGTCCATGATACCCACCACACGAATTAATCATTCATTGAAACACACTAGAGATATAAGCTTTAAAACATCACTAATTCTATTACTATTTTCAAAAAAAATATAAAAATAACAGGACACACTCCAAGGTCCCATGTTGCACCTTCAGCTTCATCATGGAGTCCTGACACATCTTGTCTCCTCTGGCCTCTGGGACATCATCGACGCCAATCAGCTTGGCCTTGTACCTCACGCCATCCCCCTGAAACCTGCCCAGCAGGTATTCATCTGTCTTCTCTGGAACTGTAAAAAAAATCAGCAAAAATATAATTTCTACAAGATTAGACCAGAAAATCTTGACATTGAAAGTCAATCCTGATCACTGTCATTGTCACTGCGTCCTCTGTCCCTCACCTCTCTTCTTCTCTTTCTTGAATGGGACCTTGGACGTGGCAGGGGAGGTGGGAGGGGTGTTTGAGGTCGTGGCTGTAGATGGGGATGCGATGTTGGGATCGGCAGCAACGGGGACGCTGTTCTCCACCTCTGCAGACATGGTGTGGAGTGAGCCTCACTGGACGAGTGGAAAGGCGGGGGTAAAGCAGACGGCAGCTCCGTGTTCAGGGGCAGCGAGGTCAACCGAACAGATGACTCTTAACACCCACACATGCTTTTCTCGTTGTTTTTGTCTGGAGCAAAAACAGTGAAGTGGGACAGTGTGTGTGGTTAGAGAGAAAAAAAGGAGAAGGAGATGGAATGTTAATACACACTGTTTCCTGGTGAAACTGCAAATGAGATATTGGACAGTAAAGGGCTACAATCAGAGTCCTTTGTCACCTTTGTCACTGCTAGACATGTTTTGTAAGTAACTGCTGAAAAGGTTTTTTGCACATCATAAACAATCATATTCTTTTAACAATCCACAGTAAACATTTACAACCACAGAAACACTCCTCCGACAGAGAAGCGCAAGAGGACACATGACCCATAAAACAGTCTCATAAGGATGAGAACACTTATCATCCTAAAATATCCTTAAGGTCCCGCACCACTTATATCTATTGTTCTCCTGCCACCCAATATTTATTTAGGGAGGATTGGGAGGATTTAAGGAGGAAGACGAATAACTAGGTATCACTATAAATGCGCAGATGGACAAAGAAAAACACATTTTGTACTCATACACATAGTCATGTGATTTGTCAGACTCATAAATATCCCATCGAAAAATCAGTGAGCTCTACCAACTGTGGCTCAGAAGCAACATGCTAGTCATACATTTCTGCACATCATAATCATCAGAAACATCATGATCAATTTTTCTGCCAGCATATTCGACGTCAGTCATGAATACAGTCTGCATTTAGTTTGCAGGAAACACAAGTCAATGTCACATGAGGCAAAAACATCATAGTGGACTGCAGCGTTCGACCCAGCAGCTGAGATTCTCCTACATCTCCTCTGCAATAAACTCCTTTCATGCAGATCCATCTCCAACACCATTTAGTCACTTAATGAATCAAACAATCAAAACATAGTGGTAACAATCGCATTCATTCATCCAGACAAAAAAAAGAGCCATAAAGGACTCTACTCTGCACAACTATTGGAATACAACCAATACAAACATGGCTCTGTGTGGGACCTACATACCTTTAGGACCAGTTCCAGAGGCTACACTGGCTAGAACATCAGTGTAAAGAGGCTGTGAATAATGTAGGAAGGACCAAAGGTTGAAAGTGGGCAAAGGTTGAGCAATTACCTGAGGTTAATCTTACGCTAGCAGAGCAAAAGATCTCGTGATGCCCAGCTAAGCAACTACACATGGAAATTGGAACCCTGGAATGATCATTTACCCACAATGTTTCTTTTTCAAGCTTTCTATAAAACCTACCCTTAATATACTGATTATTTGGAATCAGTGTAAAAGGATCCTAAAAATCCAAAAGCAACTTGCAACGTCCAATCCAGAGGTATTGTTTAAGATGAACTCTATCAGGCAGGTCATTTGTTTGATGCGTAAAGGAAATGAGAGCCATAGAAGATCAGATAAGATGGGAACTCTGAAGGCTACTGAGTGCATTCCAGGGTCGTGCCAACGGTTTCCTCTCTAGGAATAAAATCTGACCATATCAGAGAGTGACACAACTACACTATGAGGATTCTGTAAATGAACACCTATTTAAAATGGATGGTGCAAAGTTGGATTTTAAATTGAGAATGTCTTATAATGCCAATAAGTTATATCACAAAAGCTACTGTACAGCTGTAAAACAATAAAGACTCCACTTCAGCACCAGTTTTGAAGTCAAGGAAACGAGAAAGGTAAGCCGTTGTATGTTTGGTTTCCACCGTGGTGACATTTAAATTCCTTGCAAGGCACAGAGACACACATGCTGTTTTTGTTGCTGTGCCAGGAAGCGTAGAAAAACAAGACATAAGCCTAAACACTTGTTGATGCTCCATTTACATGGGTGTGACACATGACCGTACTCGTCCAGTAACTTACAGCTGTGTCAGAGTCCCACTAGTTGCAGGGAAAGGCTAATAAAAAAGGGTGAACAGTCAGCTGTTCATTGCAGATTTGAATTAAAGGATTACATTTTAACAACAAAAAAGGTACTACCCAGAGATGGATGGATTGAAAAAGCTTTTCTACAGCATCCACCAGTGTCATAAACACAAGTGACAGTTAGCCATAGAACACAAGTGTAAATTCATATTTGTCAGCAGAATAACTGCAGTGCAAGGGCAGAAATGTCACAATCCTGGGCCGTCAGGAAACGTAAACTACTGCACATCTGGAGGAAATCAGAGGGAATGACTCAGTCTGCAAGTGAATGAGATGGTGAAATACCACAGGCCCACTGTGAACACAAAGGGCATGCAAACACTTTCATACAAAATTTAAAATTGTTTTGCACCAAAACTAGGATGTAGATGGGTGTGTGGACAGGAGATGCAGCTTAAAATCTTATTAAAAATCATATGCTGAAAGATTAATAAGTTATTTGTTAATATGCTTGCAGCTAGAAGAGTGTGCTGAAAGGAAAAACTTAGAGAGAGAGAGAGAGAGA